CAGCCAGCCAGCCAGCCAGCCAGCCAGCCAGCCAGCCAGCCAGCCAATCTCCAGGAATGGATCATCGTTGGATACCCTCCAGCTTCTACCTCGTTGATACATACCGCCTTTGCCTCTCTTCCCTCCCGTTCTGCCCCTTGTCGTGCCCATTTAAAGAATGAAACAACCCGGCTTCAGAGCTTATTGGCTTTCTGCACATCTCTGTCCTGTGGTGGGATATGAAAATGCGTCCCTGGTAAACCCTGCTTTGCGGAAAGCGCCATTTCGGCCCATTCAAACCCCCGCCACGAAAAGGGGATGTTGCTGTCACAAAGTCCCTCTATCCTTTGACATCTGCTCCTGTTTAAAAGGTGGTTTCTTGGGCATTTGAAGGAAGATATTCTATGCTTATCCCCCCAGGAGCAACTGAAATGGGGTCCCTGCTGGAAATAAACAGATTTCCTGTCTCAAGCCTTGGGGAGGGGGGGAAAAACAGAACAGCCCCGCATCTTGGGAGTAGGAAGGTTGTAGCATTTGCTCCAGATTTACTGTGGCTTTAGTCGTTGGGCAGCGGGTCCTGCCACTTTCTGGCCAATTTAACTCATTCCAAGAGGGATGGCTGCAAAGATGAGCGTTGAGAAGGACTCCGGTGAGTGCCCAGGTGTTTCGCCCGGGTCTCCAAAGACTGTGCCCTGAATGACCGGCGCTCCTGAGCGAGTGGGTCATTTTTAAACCTGGATTTCGTCACAGGCAGGGGCAGAAAGCGAGGAGAGGATGCTTTTACCCGCTGGGGCCCAGCTGGAGACCTCTTCTACAGGATGTGCATTCTGGAAGGAGGCTGGGGTGCGGTGGAAATTCATTGGGTGGCACCCGTTTTGATCCAGCTTCATACACGCCAGGGCAAAGCCTCCCCAGTCCCTTCCCAGTTGAGTTCGTGACATCAATTTCAGGTCACGCCCGGTGCACCTGCTCACAGACGTGAGTGGGAGAACCGGAGTAGGAGAAATGGACCACGCTGGCTTTGCCTACAGGGACCTCGTGTAGGATTCCACTCAATGCCCCCCCCAAAAAGAACATTTTTTAAAAATACTCAAAATGCCGTCTCTCCTCTTCCTGGGTTGGCCTCCTTTGATAGAACTGGCCGGTGCAGCTTTTGACTCGCAACTGGTGCCCCTCCCCACGTGGCACCCTCGGGCAGCACGCCCTTTGCCCACTGGGCTGCCGCGGCTGTGCCTAGCTTTAATAAGCTGGAAACCCTGTCAGGCTGATCTGCCTGGGTCAGTGTTTTTTAACCTTGGCAACTTTGAGATGGGTGGACTTCAACTCCCAGAATCCCCAGGCCAGCATACCTGGCTTTTCAAAAGGCACGAGCTTCCATGGGCTACTCAGGGCTGTTGGCAGGGGGTTAAAGCACTCCCAAACCCTGGGAGCAGCCCCTTTTTCTCAGCCTGGCCTACCTTGCGGGGCTGGCGTGTGCATGCCTCTCCTCCCCGCCCCCCGCCAGACATTGTTGGAAGGAGGAGGAGGAGGAGGAGGAGGAGGAGGAGGGCCGCCTCTGCTTTCCCAGCCTGCTTGCATTCCTCCCTCCCTTGGACGACAGGTCCCATCCTCCTCCCCCTGGGACTGCAGCTGGATGCTCCGCGAGGGCGCCTCGGGCTGCTTACGGGGCTGGGAGAACAGGTTCGCCCTGCGGGGCTGCCGGACTACAACTCCCGGCATGCCTCGTCCTCGGCGTGCGGCGCAAGGGCTTCTGGGAGGTGTAGTTCATTTGCCGCTGGAGCGCCGCGGAGCCCGCCAGGAGGACGGGAAGACGGGAGGTCTCTTCTCGCCTCTTCCCGAGGCAGGCTGCGTCTGGCTCTGGAGGCTCCACGCGAGCCCCTGCCCGCTCCGAGCGGCCAGGAAGGGTCCCCGATCCGTAGGGTCAAAGGTTGCTGCAGGAAAGCTGCTTCTTGGCCTCGAAGGTCATCCTCCTGCCTGGCAAAGGGTCTTTCTCTGCCCGGAAATTGGATTTTTGCATCTTGCACTGGCCGAAGCATGCCACGTGCAAAAAATGCAGTTCTTCCCAGCGGGTAAAGGACCCCAAGGCAACCCTTGACGTTGCAAAGTTTGCTTTCGCAGCTTGCAAAACTCGGATTTTGCCGACAGCAAAATAGCGCAGGTAGGAGTGTAGATCTGTTATCTTGCACGCTTCATTTTATTCTGCGTGTTCTGTCTTGTGGCTCTGATGGGTAGGTTTTATTTCATCAGGTTTATCTGGGCTGGGCCGTTGACCTGTCATCAAGAATTTGAAATTTACCTATTGCTAAAAGACTTTGGGAACTCTGAACCTCGAACAGTTTGCAAGGAGCATCTTGGAGGGGGAAGGGGGCTGTTCCCAGGGGCAGCTGTTTGCAAGCCGTTTTAGGCAGGAGTTCAACAGGGGCACCCATTCTGCTCGTCTGGCCCTCGTGAGCCTCCCATCTGTTAGCAAGCCTTGGAAAGAGGGAAGTGCTGGGCAGAAAATGGTTTGAAAAGGGCGAAACTGGCATTTAAGGTGAATTAAGCTTCAAAGCAAAGGCGCTGCTTAGTTTCTGCAGGCAGGGCTCCCGTGAAAGCAGGAAGCAAGCGGGGAAGTTGCCGCCTGATCCTTTGGTCCTTGCGGAGTATCTACAGAACCTGCTCCTTCCAAGTGAGAAAAAAAAGAGATGCCAGAAACTTTATTCTTGGCCCTTAAGCAGCATCTTTCATAAACTGAGGGAGGCCTAGGACTTAAAAGAGGAGGAGGGATGGGAGACCCTCCAGTTCAAGGTGTTTGGTGCCACAGACCCTTTTGAGAGTCTGGGGAGGCCCTGAGCAAAATGCTTTCCAATGCGGAAAATGCAATACCCGAGTTAGAGATTTTATTACAAAGGAAACCAGTTGTGTCCCAGTACAGTTATCAAAAAAAAAAAAAAAAATAACAAATGCATTGTGTTGGACATCCAGTTGACTTCTCTTCTCTTCTCTTCTCTTCTCTTCTCTTCTCTTCTCTTCTCTTCTCTTCTCATCAGTGTTAAAAATCCTGATAGAATCTTTTCCATACAGGTTCACAGGTTCCTAAAACAGTGTTGTCCAAACTTGGCCACTTTAAGATGAGTGGACTTCAACTCCCAGA